TCACACATTTCATTATAATACTTTACTTTGTCTTCTCGAGCTGCCCTTTGAAATCTTTTAAACTCTTTTATCACATCATTTCTTCCATTCCCTTTAACTACTCTCCATACAAGAGTAAGTTCCAGAATCTCTCCTGACATCCATTTTGGTCTTTTCTTCCTTTCCTGTCCTTTTAATGACCTTTTGCTTTCTTCATGTATGATGTTCTTGACATCATCTCTTAACTCATCTGTTTTTCAGTCATTGGTGTTCAATGTGTGAAATATGTTCTTCAGATGGTATCTAAATTCAGGTGGAATATATTCAAGGTTGTATTTGCATTCTCATGGACTTGTTTTAATTATCTTCAGCTTCAACTTGAACTTACACAGGGACAACTGAGGGTCTATTCCACAGTCAGCTCCTTGCCTTGTTTTGACTGATGATAATTGTGCTTCTCCTTCACCTCTTTCCACAGATATAGTCAGTCAGATACCTGTGTATTCCATCTAGTATGGGCCACATGTAGAGCTGCCAATTATGTTGTTTTAAAAAGGTATTTGCAATAAATAAGTCATTGTTCTTGCTAACTTCTATCATGCAATCAGCGGCATCATTCTATCATGTGATCTTCAGTGTCATTCTATCACGTGATCTCCAGCGTCACTCTATCATGCAATTTCCCATGTCATTCTACCAACAAGGCCATAGTTTTCAACTACTAATGATTCTTTGTTTCCAGGTTTCACATTCCAATCACCAGTAATCATCAATACATCTTGATTGCATAATTGGTCAATTTCAGACTGCAGAAGTTAGTAGAAATCTTCAACATTCTCATCTTTGGCTTTAGGGGTTGGTAAACAAATTTGAATAATAGTAGTATTAACTGACCTTCATTGTAGGCATATGATATTTTCCTATAACTGACATTATTGTACTTCAGGAGAGATCTTGAAACATTCTTTGTGAAGATGAATTCAATGCCATTCCTCTTCAATTTGTCATTCCTGGCATAGTAGATCATAAGATTATCTGAATCAAAATGGCCAATACCAATCCATTTTAACTCACTCTAAAATACCAAACTCACTGCCATCAAGTCAATTCTGACAGTGACCCCCCTTGGGTTTCTAAGGCTTTAAATCTCTACAGAAGTAGATTGCCCCATCTTCTTCTGCAGAGTGGCTGGTGGGTTTGAACTGCTAATCTTCTGGTTAGCAGCCAAATGCCTTATTCATTACACTACCAGAGCTCATTTTTGGCCCACTAATGCCTAGGAAATTGATCGTTATGTGTTCTATTTCATTTTTGACAACTTCCAATTTTCCTTCATTCATACATTGTACATTCCACGTTCTGATTGTTAATGAATGTTTGCAGCTGTTTCTTCCCATTTTGAGTCAAGCATTTCATAACACTTAATAAACAATAATAAATGCTAATTATTATAATTTTTCATTGAGTTTTCATGCTTATAGGACTATTTGTTGTTGTGTTTACAGAATTAAATACAGCCCATTCCTGTGCCATCCTCATAATCATTGCCATGTTTGAGCCCATTGTAGCAGCCATTATGTGAATCCATCTAATTGAGGGTCTTCCTCTTTTTCACTGAGCCTCTACTTTACCAAACATGACCTCTTTCTCCAGGGTCTGGTCCCTCTTGATAATATGTCCAAGGTACATGGATGAAGTTTCCCCATCCTCGTTTCTAAAGCTGTATTTCTTCTGAGACAAATTTGTTCAACTTCTGGCATTCCATGATATATTCAGTGCTTTTCATCAATACCATAATTCAAATGTATCACTTCTTCTTTGGTCTAGGAGTTCTGGTGGCATAGTGCCTAAGGCATTTGACTGCTAACCAGAAGGCTGGCGGTTCAAACCCACCAGCCACTCCTCGGAAGGAAGGTGGGCAATCTACTTCCGTAGTGATAACTGCCTCGGAAACCCAAGGAGGGGTCGCTATGAGTCGGGGTCGACTCGACGGCAGATAACAACAACAACAACAACAATTCTTTGTCCACCTTTCATATGCGTATGAATACCATAGCTGGTGTCAGGAGTACCTTAGTCTTCAAAGTGACATCTTTACTTTTCAGCACTTTAATGAGGTCTTTTGCAGCAAATTTACCAATGCAATGTCATTTGATTTCTTGACTGCTGCTTCCATGGGCATTGATTGTGGATCCAAGTAAAATGAAATCCTTGACAATTTCAACATTTTCTCTGTTTAGCTTTGTTTTGCTTATTGGTCCAGTAGTAAAGATACATATTTTCTTTAGGCTAAGGTGTAATCCATACTGAAGGTTATAGTCTTTGATCTTCATCAGTAAGTGCTTCAAGTCCTCTTTGCTTTCAGCAAGCAAGGTCATGTCATCTGCGTATCACAGGTCATTAATGAACCTTTCTCTGATTCTTCTTCATAAAGTCCACCTTCTTAGAATATTTGCCCAGTATAGAGATTGGATAATTATGGTGAACAGCTACAACCCTGATGTACACCTTTCTTGATTTTAAGCCACATATTATCCCCTTGTTCTGTTTGAATTACTACCTCTTGGTGTAAGTACAGGTTCCCCATGAGCACAATTAAGTGTTCTAAAATTCCCATTCTTTACAATATTATTCATAATTTTATGATCCACACAGTCACATGCCTTTGTAGAGTCAATAAAACACAGGTAAACATCTTTCTGCTATTCTCTGATTTCAGTCAAGATCCATCTGATATTAGCAATGATGTCCTGCATTCCATGTCCTCTAATTCTGGCTTGAATTTCTGGATGTTCTAGATGTTTCCCATCATTGTACTGCTGCACTCATTTTTGAATTATATTCAGAAAAATTTTACTTGTGTGTGATAGTAATAATATTTTTGGATAATTTCCACATTTTGTTACTAAATAAGACTATTTAGTAATTGCTAAAAAGGATGTAAAGAAGAAAGAAGGGATGGAGGTGGAAAGAAAGAAGAAAGACTATAAAGACTTGAGAAGAGGTGGATAAGCAGGAAGATGTAGAAGATCCTCAGATCAGATACTAGAGAAATATATAGATGACTTGAAAAAGTCACTGAGTCTTTATCTGTAGCTACAATAGCAGTGTAACCACTCTTAAGTGTGGTTAAGGCAGAGTCTTGCAAAACATGTTGCTAAACATATATCTTTGGGCCATGAGTAAAAATCAAGGTGGGGCAAGCTGACTTCTATAGAACTGGTAGCAAATTGCTCTGAGAATCCTGACTTGCTTTTTGGTCGAAGTATGAAAGGTTCCTTTCCATTTGCCCCAAGACCAGCAGAATTCTGTACAAGTCAGACTAAAGGCAAACAATTTACAGGTTGTAACTTATTGAGGCAAATACTCTGGGCCCTGCATTTGGGGGTTGGGAGGCTTCAATTGCTTTGAGATAATGACTGAATAACTGGCTGATTGCTGACCAAAGAAACTCCTGTGCTTAACAACTTTCTACATATACATCTCTTTCCTTTCTTTTTTCAAATGTATCCATTATGATGATGATGATGATGAATAGATGATCAAGGATACCTTTTAAAAAGGAAAGGAAAAAGATGTATATGTAGAAAGACATTATCATATTGCGTAAGGCACTTGACTGCTAACCAGAAGGCTTGTGGTTCAAACCCACCAGCCATTCCTTGGAAGAAAGGTTGGGCAATCAATAGTCCATAGTGATACTGCCTCAGCAACCCAAGGAGGGGTCACTATGAGTCGGGTCTGACTCAACGGCACATAGCAGCAACAACAAGAACATCAACATTAACAGCTCTGGTGGTGCAGTGACTAAGGCATTCAAATGCTAATCAAAAGGTTGGAGATTGGAACCTACCAGCCACTCTATGGGAGAAAGATTAGGCAGTCTGCTTCTGTAAAGATTTACAGCTTTGGAATCCCTATGAAGCAGTTCTACTCTGTCCTATGAGGTTCTTATGAGTCAGAATAAAACTTGCCAGCAGTGGGTTTGGGACCAAAGAGGAGTCGCTATGAGTCAGGAATGACTGAATGGCATTGAGTTTGGTTTTTGGTTTGGTTTATTAGACCCAAATTAGGTGGTGATGTTCTGAAACCCCTGTTTTCCCTGAGTTCTGGATGCCTTCAAGATTGTCATGTGTTGCCACAGTGTGTTTAGCAAGTTTCTTATTCTAAGCTGATGTCTGGTCAATGCCTGTCTATTTATAAATAGCACTTTCCTGTTCAAGCAGTTGGAACCAAAGAAAGTATGATTGTCTTCTGCCTGACAAAGAGCTAAAAGGGTTGAAGAGTAATGGTTGGGCTTACTCCATCATCAATTTAATGTATTACTTAGAAATCCCTGTCCTATCACATCACCATATCCAGGTTTCCCCTCCTGCAAAGCAATAGTTTTTACACTGTATTGACTCACATAAGTATGTTCCTATTATAGCAAAATACAACTCACTGTAGCAAAACTCTCAGTGGGAGAATGCTCTTCGCTTTGGTCACAGTTACAAATTTATTTAGGGGTTATCAGCCTGCCAGTGAGATTATGGGAAAGAAGGAGAGCTATAGGAGAAGATGATGATGTGGGATTCTGATATTTGAAAATGAATGAGTTTCCCAAGAGATGAGCATAAAACTCTTAGGATCAAATTCAGATAGAAAGCTGGAAGGTTGCCAGTTTTGTAATTGCATCTGGAATTGAGCTGTAATCCTCACCACTTCTGAAAACAATAAGAATGAGAGAACGATAAACCACCTTTGTTTTTAACAGTAGTATTTGCTTGGCATTTCTAATAAAATATATCCCTGACACTTGGTTAAGGCTGGAAAAATACAAAAATAATGATATGTTTGTTTTTTTTTTTTGAGGAGGGTAAAGAATATATTTTTTTGTGTGCAGGGAGAAGGGAGGAGAAAATTGTGTATTTTGTGAGAAAAAAGGGAATTCCTCTATTTTGTGAGGAAAAATTAAATAATATATTTTGACTTCTATAAAATAGAAACTTATATATGACTTTTTAAAAATACCCTTTCAGGTTTACGACATATGGGTATAAGCTCTTTGTACACAACAGTGTGGGTTTTACACCAAGTGAAGAAGTGACTGTGACAACGTTAGCTGGTCTTCCAGAGAAAGGGACCAACATCTCTGCTCATGTTCTTAACCACACAGCTATATACGTGGAATGGACTAAACCAAGTAAGTTAGTTGCTGCTACCTTTATTTCCCCTGAACTTATTCTTAATACCTGTATTAATTTCCTAGGGTTGCTATAACATATTACCACAAACTGAGTGGCTTAAAACAAAGAGAACATAAATAGCACTGTCAGGAGATTATAATTCCTAAATCAAAGTGTTGGCACAGTTGGTTCCTTCTGAGAACTCTGAGGGAGAATCTGTTCCCTGCCTCTCTCCTGGCTTGTGATGGTGGCCAGCAATCCTTAGTAGTATTCCTTGGCTTATAGGCACATCACTACAATATCTGCCTCTGATGTCAACTGGCATGTTTCCTGTGTGTTTGTGTACTTGTGTCTATTTTTCTCTTATTATAAAGATGCCAGCCATACTGGATTAGGACCCATACTACTCCAGTATGTCCTCATGTTACCTTGACTAATTATATCTACAAAAATGCTATTTCCAAGTAAGGTCATATTCACTGGCATTTGGGCTTATGACTTGAGCATATCTTTTAGAGATACCGCCTCAGAAACCCAAGGAGGGGTCTCTATGAGTCGGGACTGACTCAATGGCAGTAATTTTGGTTTTTGTTTGGTTTTCAGACAAATTAAAATTGGACCCAAAAAAAAAAAAAAAAAATCAAGCTTCAAGCTTCTGTCTTGAGCTTCCTACTTCTGTACCCTTCCTGGACCTGCCTTCTCTCCTTACAGTCCACTGGGACAGGGAATACAGTTTCTGTCAGAACAGCCAGTTTTTATAAAAATGTCCATGTACTGATTTGATAAAATGTAATGTTCTGCACTTTCCTGCAGATAGGTCTGCTCCATGTCTAGTGACTCATCACTCATTAGCTAGAACCATTTAATAGGATTGTAGAAACGTGACAGATATTTTCAGTGAATCTTCTTCAACACTATAAGTAAAGTTTCAGCTTGACCTAAGGAAATAAAGCCTGGAAGTCATTAGTGAACTCACTCCAACAATGTAGGGTCTGACCCTGGCCCCATTCAGAGAGTATCTTTACAGGCAGTTGGGAGACCTCATGGTCTAAACTGTTTCTGCAACCTCAGAAACCACAATAAATGAAATTTCAGGTCTGCTTGGCCAATAGAGTAACATTAACAGCTGATCTGTTAATTTGTGGGGTTCTATTATGACACTCAGAAAAAAAAACTCTGATTCTACCATATAAATATGTGTTATGATTATTCTTACAGGTATAACTCAATATTTGGCAAATAGTTACTTAAATCAAAGTTTGGCTTTTTTTTTTTTTTAAGAATATTACCAAACATGGATAACTATCTGATTTGGAAAGGACTGATTAAAATATTTTATTTTATGAAGGAAAATGCTGCTTACTAGGATAATCATCTACTATATGATATAAAATTACTGTTGGTTGGGCAATAGTGACCATTCAGTTTTGATCCAGCTTTAAGTTTTGTTGCAGCCTCAGAGAAAAATACCTCCTGTTTCATTTAACACACCTGAGTAAGTTTAACACAATATTATGGTATCCATTGTGAATTAAAACCAGAATTATTGTTGTTAGCTGCCATTAAGTCCACCCTTGACTCATGGTGATCTCGTGTATGATGGGTGGTGCCAATAGGGTTTTCATTGGATGACTTTCAGAAGCAGACCACCAGGCCTGTCTTCCTGTCCATCTTAGTTTGGAAGATCTGCTGAAATCTGTTCAATATCATAGCAACATACAAGCTTCCACTGAGAGACAAGTGATAACTGTGCATGAGGTGCATTGGCTGGGAATGGAACTCGATGCTCCCTCATGGAAAGAGAAAATTCTACCACTGAACCATCGCTGTCTCCAAAAACAGTATTCCAAATCAAAGTCCACCGCCATCAATTAGATTCCAACTCATAGCAACCCCTATTGGGTTTCCAAGACTGTAAATCTTTACAGAAGTAGAGTCTCATCTTCTTCCCACAGAACAGCTGGTAGGTTTGAACCTCCAACCTTCTGGTTAACAGCCAAATGCCTTACCTACTATACCTCCAGAGCTCCTCTAATCTCCTAAAAACAGTGTTAGGTAACACTAATTGCAAAATAAAATCAGAACCAGTTGTATTGATCTAAATTGTTCCTAACCTATTTTTTAAGACTGTTTCTCCTAGGAAGGATCTCTCATGGTTCAGTGCCTAAGGCATTTGACTGCTAACCAGAAGGTTGGTGGTTCAAACCCACCAGCTACTCCACAGAAGGAAGACTGGGCAATCTAGCTCAGTAAAGATTTACCACCTTGGAAACCCAAAGGGGGTCACTATGAGTCAGAATCAACTTGAAGGCAGTGAGTTTGGTGGTTTTTGTCTCTCCTAGGGTTATTAAAAGTTCTTGCGTTTCTTAAGATCTCTGTCACCTATATTGGGATCTCTGAAGCTATTTTAATGGCAGAATTAAGTTAATTGATGCTTATGATTAATGATTACTCTCACAGAAAAATATGAAGTTTTTATCTGTAAGTGGGTTTTTATGTGTATTATATTTTCACTCATCTCCTTTTCCTCTCTGCTCCATGCTTACCAACTGATTCATCTTAAAACCTACTCACGCAGGTTGATGCTCCCCCACCCTCATAGGACATTTGAATACTTCTTTTAAGATCCGGCTGCTGAATTTTCACCAGTGTAGGTCCTTTATGTTATAATTGCATGCCTGAAGTAAGCTTGCTTATAAAAACTGACAAACCTAATAGATCTGAAGCAGCTCATTGAAGTTTCATTACCTTGGTAATCTGAACCTCTGACCTTCTGGATGTAGGTAATGCAATCTGCTGTTATTTCTATTCATACCTTAGAAATTTTTCAGATATCTATTTGTGAGCACAAAGGTTAACTCTCAGAAGAGGGTTGTCTCTCCAAAAGCTTGTTGCATTATCATTTTCCTCTTTTGTGCAACCTGCTATCCTAAGTAAATTAACTAGTCATTCCTCTGTGAAAGAGCCACCTATTATTTTGCAATTTTAATTTCAAATTGATCTCTTGATAGGTTGGAGAAAATTGGCACGTAGTGTATCTAATATGAAAAGAGGCACAAAGTTATAGATTGAAAGTGTCTTGTAGTTGAAAGTCATATGAATAAATACGTAAATATTTACTTATTAAAATGAAATTTAACTAAAAATATTCCCTGAAGTCTTCTTTGAACGAAATAATAATTTAACTTATATACTAAAGAATGTCTGCCTTGAGCATTGTACTCTTTTAAAGAATACATGGGATCAAATTGACAACAGCAACTGGAAAGGCTAGAGAAGAAAATTAGGGGGCAGTGAGTTTATGTTAATGGGGGAGTAACAATTCAGTAAAAGGAGATGAGAATAGTTACACAATTTGAAGAGTGTAATCAGTGTCATGTAATGGTGCATGTAGAAATTATTGAAATAGTATATGTTTTGCTATGTACGTTTACATCAACAGCAAAAATAAAAATAAAGTTTAGAAGATTTTAAAACATATTATTTCTGTAATCCTTTATATGTACATCGTTTGGGTAGTAAAATGTTTCTGGTAACATTTTACTAACCACAGAATAACAATAATAGGTTATTAAAAAAATTTTTTAAAGGGTCAATTTTAGCGTTAGCCTCACTTATGTGATTTAAAGGAAAACCTGTGGGTTGTGATGAGTCAGAATTGACTCAGTAGTAGTGAGTTTTTTTTTTTTTTTTTTTTAGGTTTTATGTGATAAAATGTGAGGTAAAGCATATACCAACCCCCACCAAGGATCTCTCCATTTCTTTAATTCATTTTTTTTAGAGCAGATACTGCAAACTGACAATATATACACCATATTTGCCTCCCCGTCTTCCATAAATTGTTTTGCCCAGGCTTCCATGTATGATTTAATAATTTTTAAAATTATTATTTTAAAACAATAATAATTCTCCAGCATTTATTAATGAAAAGATTTCACATAAAGATGATTTTCTGATTCACTTGAAAAATCTCATAATCAGATAAAACTGTTCCCACATTGCTGGATGGAATATGTCAGGTGGCACTGAGTAGTGGCTGCACTTTTAAACATGTTCACTTCTCAACCAGTCCCATCTTCCTAATCCCTATGGAAATTTGACATTCTTATCCTTACTTTATATAATGAAACAAAATATTTCTACCTAAATTACATTCAGTGAAGGCAAATATGTTGGAGATAAAAATCAGGTTTTTATAAGCAGAGATACAAAAACACTTTCACTTAAAGTATTCAAGCAATCCTTACTAAAGCACTGTAATATAGAAACTGATGCTTAGTGTTGTTAGGTGCTGTTGAGTGGATTCTGACTCACAGCAGCCCTATGTATAACAGAACTAAACACTGTGCCATCCTCAAAATTGTTGCTAAGTTTGAACCATTGTTGCAGCCGCTATATCAATCCATCTCATTGAGGGCCTTCCTCACTAACCCTCTACTTTATCAAGAATGATGTCCTTCTCCAGGGACTGGTCCCTCTTGATAATATGTATAAAGTATGTGAAATGACATCTCACCATCCTTGCTTCTGAGGAACATTCTGGCTGTACTTCTTCCAAGAAAAATTTATTCAGTCTTCTGGAAGTCCATGGTGTATGCAATATTCTTCACTAACACCATAATTTGAAGGCATCAGTTCTTCAGTCTTCCTTATTCACTGACTAGCTTCCATAAGCATATGAAGTGATTGAAAATACTGTGAGTTGAGTCAGGTGCACCTTAGTCCTCAAAGTGTGACATCTTTGCTTTTTAAAACTTTAAAATGTCTTTCCCAGAAGATCTGCCCAATGCAATGTTATTTGATTTCTTGACTACGGCTTCCATGGGAGTTGATTATGGATTCTAATAAAATGAAATTCTTGACAACTTTAGTGTTTACTCTAAAAGCTTTACTCCATCTAAATCACTAAAGACAACTCTACTTCGAGGAGGTAGCTCTTTCCCAGTGATATTTTGAGTGCCTTCCAACCTGAGGGGCTCAACTTCTGATGCTGTATCAGACAGTCTTCTGCTGCCAT